GCTATTTCAAGAGCAGCATTGATTTTGCCTAAAGCATTATTAATAACATTAGCTGCTCCAACAAGTTCTTTTGTTGCAGCATCTTGAATCTCTTCTTCTTTAGTTTCTTGTTGTTCAACAACATCATCTAATACAATATCTTTCATAACCTCATCCATTTCAGCCCAAATGTCTGCTAATTCGGCTTGTTTCTTAGCAATTTCATCATATTGTTCTTCTAAAGATAAGTCAACAACTCCTTTCATTTGATCAGCAAGTCTTTTTGATGCATCTAACAATCTTTTTCTGAAATCACCTTTTTTAGCAGTACTTGCATAAGCCTTAACTGCTCTATAATTCTTTCTGTTTTGTGCTTGAATCTTTTCAAATAATGCAGGAAGATCTTCTAATGGTGTTTCTCTTATCTTCTTTAATGGATCAGCCATGGCTTTAATTGACTCCTCAATTTGACTTTTAGCCTTACTTCTAACACCTTCTACATTAACTGTTTGGACTTCAAAGTCTTCAGCAACAAGTTCTCCAAGTAATAATTCAATTTCATTTTCAATATTATCAAATTCTTCTTTCTTTGTAACAACAACTTCTTTACGAGCTTGTTTAGTGTTATTGAATAAATTATTCAATCGAGCCATATCAAATGTTGCTCTTTCAGCTTCATTACATGCAAATTCAAGAGCACTACGTGAAGAATTATCTTCAATTAATGGAAGTGTTTCTAAAACTTCAACAATTAAATCATATGATTTAGGTGCAAATTCTTTACATTTTTCTGGTAATTGAGCACCTTGTTCATCTACAGGTAATGATAATAATTTAAGCATCTCTTCTACTTGTTCATTCATTGATCTAGTAACTTTTAACATTTGTTTTTGAATGTTTTTATCTTTAATATGTCCATTTTTAATAACTCTTCTAACTTGTGCAGCAAGAGCAATTCTACGAGCCACAGCCGTTTTAGTCATAGAATTAAGTGCAAGTCCTTGCATATTTTCTCCAACTTCTTCCATTCCACATCCTTCCATTAGTTTTTCCATAGCTTGTCTCATTAAAATACAATCATCTTCTACAAGTTCACCTCTTTCTCCACTCTCAAGTTTATCTCTAATTACAAAGAATTTTTGTACAACATCTTTAAAGTCATCTAAAATAACTGCAACCTGTTCTTGATTACCTTCATCAATTTTAGCTTTAGCAACACTCTTACATGTTTCTTTTGTATTCTCAAGAATATCTTCTAAATTATCAATACTCATTTCAACTTGAACTGGAGTAACTAATGGATCACTTAATTGTGCTAATTCATTAAAGACAGCTGACAAATTTTGAATCATTGAAAGTAAATCTTTTTCTGCATCTACTCCACTCATTTGAGTTCCTGCCATTAATGCATCCCAATTCATTTTAATTGTATTAACTTGTTCATATAAAGCTTGCATCTCAGGTGATTCTTGTAAAACTCCATATGACTCTATTAATGAAAGATAATTAGCAAGTGATACATCCATTGTATTCTTCATTTCTCCCATTAATTTTTGACATCCTTCTTCACTTGAAGTAACTGCAAGAAGACGCATAGCAGCAATTTCATTTTGTCCAAGTGTAACAAGAGCTTTATTAGCTTCAACAATTTTCTCTCCTTGAATATTCATTTCAACAGACATAGCAGCAAGATCAAATAATCCTTCTCCAACAGCTCTTGACAATTCATGTAATAACATTTGTGATCCATTATCATTTACTGTAGCTTGTCCACACATAGCTTGAACTGATACAACTGAAGCTTGTAATACAAACATTTCTGGTGCTAAAATCTCAGCTTCTTGAACATTTGATTCAATTAATACAGCAGTTTGAAGTCCATTTTCATGACTTTCAATTAATTCTTGTGCAGACTCTGTAGCTTGACGACAAGCAACTAATAATTGTTCTTCATCTTCATCAGCGTTCATTACACAACTACCAAAATCAACACTTTTTGATGCACAAAATTGTGTAAACAATGCATCAGTTTGTATAGTTAATTCATTTAAAGCATTAGTAACAGTAGCTTTATCTGTTGAATACAAATCAGAAACGAGTTGTCCAATAGATTGAGCTGATTCAACCATAACTTCAGCAGAAAATTGAACAGGCTCAACACTTGTTTCTTCAAATGTCATTTGTTGATATTTATCAACACATAATTGAACTTGTTCTTGTGTATCACTTTGAGAAACAACTTGAGCAACTTGGGCAGTTTGAGAAACTTTAGGAACTGCTTTCTTTTTCTTAGTATTATCAACTCCAGTAGGAACATCTTCAATTTTGTCAGTAATAGAATATTCAGGCTCAACATCTTTTTCTGCAAGTTGTGCCTCTTTCTTTCTCTTTGTAATTAAGTCAATATATCCTGAGAGTGTAGCAGAAATTAAATCACCTTCTTCAGTAATTAATGTAATATAATTAGTTGAGTGATTACCTAAATCAAGAATAAAGACATTCTTACCAACTGCATAACGTGCAATCTTTGAAATAACCCAAATTTCTTGATTTCCACCATCTTCATCAGCTAATAATACATAATCTTTACAAATACCAAAAATTTTTGGAATTTCTTTTGCTTTACCAACTTTTCTAATACGAACTTTGAAAATATCAAGTCCATAAGTCTTTTCATGCATTACAAGTTGACAATATTGATACTTAGCTTGCATTTGTTTTGTTGTCATACTTTTATTCTTCCATTCTTTAATAACAGCAAGAAGTTGTTTTGCTGTAACTTTTTTTTTGCAATTCTCTGGGAAATATTTCTTGATATCTGGTAATCTCTTTTCTAGTCCTTTTGGATTTAAATCTATATCACCATATCTCTCATCAAAAGAACCATATTCTACAAGACAATTTAATGCAACTAATGGAATTGCTTGGTCCATATTAAATGGAATCATTCCTTCAATAACTTTAAAGGTACAATCAGTATATAATAAATGTAGTTGTTGTTGGTCAGTATCATTGACATTTCTATCTCTGAAATAGAACCTCTTCTTCAAACGAATTAATAACTGGTCTTCTGAATTAATTTGTTCATAAAATACTCTTAATGGATCAAGCCATTGATTACTTTCTTTCTTTGTTGATTCATTATATACCTTTAATCCATATTCATCAGTATAAAGAATATTAACCTTTTCTCCAATAAATTGGAGTAACTTCTCTACTGTTAAAGTAACATTAACTTGGAATGTCTTAATAGTCTTATCAATTAACTCAAATTTAAATCGTTGATTTAATGGTCTAATATCAAGTGTCTCGGTAGAATCATAACCAGCAGCTGCAAGAATTTGGTTTGGAAGAAATAGTGTATGTCGTGTTGGTTGCCATAAAATAAATTCTCCTTGTGGTCGCTCTGGAAGTTTATCTAAAGCTTTATCAACTATTTGTGCAGCAGTATCAGTATCTAATACAGCAACTGATTTAACTAAATCAACAGAGGCTGTTGGACTAGTATTATCTTTAAAGATAAAATGTATACGAAGAATTACTTGTGTCATATCTTTTATCTATGGGATCTTTTTTAGTTCGACTTATTTTTTTTGTTTTTTGTGCTTTAAAACATTCTATTAATAGATTTATGAAAAATGATAAGATTATATCTAATCCTCATAATTATTATCTCGGTAAGATGCATTTTGATGACACTCGTTAATGCTACAACAATTCCTTAAAGGTTATCTTACCTCTCTTCTTTTATAATCTTTAGCATTTTCTTTTTTTTTGGCAATAACCCTGTTTTTTTTTTGTTTTGTTATGTTCAAAAATAAAACTTACTGATTTTATCTTATTATAATAATACTTAATGAACATATTAGCTAAAGACTATATGAGAAGTCTTAACAAACTTTTTGCATCTGGGTTATACCAATTTCAACAAATCTATCTTAGCCCAACAAATGATAATGAATTTGAACCATTAACATGTAATTTGTGTTATCGTATGCTTCGTTTTCCAGATGATTCAATAAAAATAATATCAAGAAAACACGCAATAAAAATGGGATTAATTAAAACGAATGAAGTAAAACATAAAGTTGTTATACAAAGTTACTGTCATAATTGTGGAAAATATTCAACAATTCTTTTGGATAAAGTACCAACGAAAATTGAAAGTTTAACAAAGAAACAAATTATTGAAAGAAAAAAAGTAAAAGATAATCAAAAAAACAAAGAAGAAAAAGAAAAAGAAAGTAAGCCTAAAAAATTTAAGTCTAACTCACCACTTCCTAAGGAAGATGCTTTTAGAAAAAATTTAGTAAAACAAATAAAAAAGAAATCAAAAACTGAATCTCAAATAGCTCAAGAAACACGTTCAAGTTTATTATCTTTTTTAAAACAAGTAGATTAAATTGATTGTTAGTTTCTTTTAATACATTATTACTTTAAAATATAAAAATATTACCGAAATAAACAAATGAACTTAATCTGCATTTGCTTCTTTTATTATATTTTCTGCTAATTCTGAATCAAAGTTAGCACGTATTTCATCACATAAATATGTGTAAAGTTTATTTAATCCTTCACTTCTAATTCTTTCATTTCTATGATTTGCTCTAAACATATCAACACATTCTTTTCCATAAGAATCTGGTTTAAATCCATCATCAATATCTTTTAAAACTTGATAAGGAAGAACCAATTCTTTTTTTACATCAGCAGCTACTGTTCCACAATATTCATTTAACTGTCCTAATGAATGATCAAACTTTTCAACTAATTTCGGTAATCTGTTTTTATTACTTTCTTGAAAATCAGAAGAAATGTCATAAATCTCTTTTGCTTGATTTGCAGTTTCAATTAACATTTTTTCAATATCATTTAGTGTTGTTTGAGTAAGTGTCATTAAATTATATTGTTTTTTCAGTTTTTTATTTTTATTATTAAAAACGTTTTATATAACAAAATAAAAAATTTGATGAACTTTTTTTCAATTTCACTTCTTTAATTTTATTGGTTTTTCTTAACAGATGGCACGTCTTCTTGATGTTACAAAATTAACTATCTCAGTCCCATCTGCCTCACCACACTTTCCTGCAATGATGGTTGCTGTTGAACAATGGAATTCAGTTAATAGTGCTATTCGTATTATTATAGAAAACATACCACCATCAATTTCTCATGCAGAATTACTTGGGTTATTGTATCGTTTTTCAGGAACATTAGGAAAATATGCCAAGAAACTTGAGTCATTTGCAGCTACACCAATTCAGTGGAATGATATAAAATCTAATTACAATCAATATATTGAATATTATTCACAAAAAATACCTGAAAATACTTCTGTTAATCCTGAACAATTTGTATTTAATTTAGCTAGAAATAAATTAGGAGAAGCATTACAACAAAAAGAAGAATGTAAAATGAATCAACAACCAGTTAATGATATAATAAAAAGGTTATTTTTCCAGTGTGATGATTTATTTAAATTGTTATTAGAATGGTGTGACCGAGAAGAAGAATCAACAATGGTATTAAAATGTTTGTTATTTTTCTATTAATTATTAAAAGAAATATAAAATTATTAACTAATTGTTTATAGTCATTGAATTAATTCAAGAAGTAATAAGTGGTTTTTAATATACGTCTTTTAATTCTTTTTCTTCTATTCATTCTGTAAATCAATGTTTTGTTTGAACATTCTTTTTACCTTCTTTCAACTTTTCTCTTCTTCTTTCTTTTTCTCTTGTTATTTTAAATTTATTATATTTTATAATATTTTATTATTATTAAATAGTATTTTATCAATATATTAAATCTTAAAAAAAATTTAAAATAATAAAGGAACTTTAATTTAATTAATGAAATTTGGACTTTCAACTATTTCACATCTTTTAGTTTTAGTTGTTGAATGTGGAATGATTCTTGTTTTATTATCATTCTTTTTACCAATGGTAGCAACACGAGACATTGATGAAAAAGATCATACTGTTAGTTATTATTCAAGCCATTTAATTTCATTCTGTGTTGATGTTGATACTGAATTTACTAAACACACTTGTGTGTATTATTCAGGAAACCAAGCCTTCTTTAATAACCTTCCACATTTTTCATCTCAATATAGTTGTTATCTTATAGTTACTGTATTAACTTCATTTAGTCTTATTTTTACAGTATCTTATCTTTTAATTGAATTATATGGATTCTTCAGTCCAGAAGATGCTCAAACAGGTGTAACAAAGAATTTAAGTTATTACTATGACAAACTTAGTTCTTTCTTCTCTTTCTTACCAATGTTATCTGATTCTTTACTCTCATTAATTTATGGAGTTTTCTTCTCAAGTATTATTGGTGTATTTAATCTTATTTCTTTAATTGTTCTTATTATTGGAGTTTCTGGATCTGGTTTTGATGACGGTAATAATTTACATATAATTTCTAAATCATTATGCAGTGGATTTTTCATTTACCTTATTGGTAACACTCTTCTTGTTGGAGGAATTATTGGAGCTACTTTATCCCGTTTCTTTTCAGGAAAAATTGATGAAAGTCAAGTCCAAATCGAGCCAAACCCAGCTTTTGATGTACCAGCAAACCAATAAAACACAAGGAAAAGGTTAGTTGATTTTTAAAACAAATTTTAATTAAAATAAAATTATATTTTCTTTTTTTTTTTTTTAAAGAACTTTTGTATTTTTTTTATTCTCTCTTTAACGAAATGAATAAAAAGAAAGAAAAACAATTCCAACAAGACCTTTCTCATCTTGAAGCTGAATTATTTGAAATTCAAACACTCCTCAATCAACATCAAGCAAAATTAGATTTAATGCCATCTCCACAACAAGATCATAGAGCTCGTAGGGGATTATTTATTGGTAAAAGAAGTTCAAGCATTACTTCAGAATCACCACCAATAATCAACTAATTTCATTTGTTTTATGTTATGTATATCAATATTTATATTTAAAAAAAAATTAAATCGTTTTATATAACATAAAAATATATTATTATAATTCTTTATTCATTGTAACAGCTGGAATACCATTAAAATCTGTTGTTTCACCAGTAAGATAAAACCCAACTTTTAAGTACATTCTATGAATATATTCTAGAGCATCTAATGTAACTAATTTTCCATTAAAATATTCTTTAATTTGGTTGCAAGTAAAATTGATTAATTTTTGTCCCATACCTTGTCCTCTTGCTCTTTTATGAACTAGAACACGGGCAATTCTATATAAATTTTCACCTTCTTGAATAACTCTACAATAAGCAAGAAGTCCTTCTTCTCCCCATGAAAAAGAATGATAACAATATTCATCAATTTCATCCATTGGAGGATGACCAAGGTCTTGTTCTCCACCTGAAGCAAAGACTTCATCTCTCATATCATAAATTTGTTGATATTCTTCTTCATTAAATTGACTAAGCAATTTGAAATTCCATTGGATACTCATGTTTATTATGAATGGTCAATGAGATGAGGTTCAATCTTTAAATATTCTATGTTCTATAAATACATTTGATATATATATATTGTTTCCCTTAGATTCTTAACAAAGTCCTTTTATTCAGTTATAATCGTTCAATCACAACTATGATAGAATAATCTTTTTAAATCGATAGATTCTTCTTCTGTTTTGTATTTTTATTATTTATTCTATTTTTACCTATTTTAATAAACTAAATTCATATTAAATTTTAGGTATTTGAAGCGTATTTTACGTTTAGACAATATTCCTTTCTTAATATTTATAAAAATGTTTTTATAAATATTATTTTATTTTTAAAGGTCTCTGTTGTATTTATTCTGTCAGGATTTTTTAGTTTCTTTAAAAACGTTATATATAACTAAATATTCTATTAGTACTTATCGAATTGGTGTTGAAGCAAAAATTCTTTACATGATTCTAAGGTATATGTTGGGTTTGATATTTGATACTCAATCAAAGAGTTAATTGCTGTCGATACCCATTTTCCTTTTTTTGTTTGATACAATTGTGTAATTTGACTACCATTTATTGCAGGAGTAATTAACCAGATATTATCCAGTTGTAATTGATAAATTAAGTCAAAATGATGTTGAACAGTTTGGAGCAAATTCGGTTCTATTTGAATTTTAAAATTAATATTTGGGTAACTAGGAATTGTAAAATGAGAATTGAGACAACAATATAATATAATAGATGCCTTCCACATTTCTTTACTTTTTAACATTGACCTTCCATAGTACAATCTTTCACACTTACAATTATGTTGATTTAATAAATTAACTCCTTCAATAATATTATCTACTTTCTCTCTTTCTTTTGATGTAAATTTAAGACCTTCTATAATGATATTTGGAATCATTGGTAATTCTTTTTTTTTTAATAAAAAAGTATCATTTTTGAATGAGTAACAAAGTGCAGTTAATAGTAGGTGTTTAAGCATATCTGTGTCATCTTTAACTTGGTTAATTGAATTAAAAACTTCTTCACAACAATACATTAAAGGAACACTATTTAATTGAACCATTTCCCAATTACATTCGTTACTTTCTTCTGTTATTAAAATTTCTTTTAATAAATGGCAATACTGAAATACATGAAATCCGTATGAAGGATGTGAAGATATTAAAATATTATTTAATTCAGGTGTTCTTCTACTTTTTTTAATTTTGTTCATTCCTCTTAATACTGTTGGATTGGTCATAGCATTTAGTGTATTGTCTTCTATCTTAAACCCATATTTTGCAGAAAACCTAATCCCTCTAAAGACTCTTAGTGGATCATCAGTGAAAGATTGTATTGGATCTATTGGTGTTCGAATTATTTTATTCACTAAATCTTCATATCCATTTGTATAGTCCTCAATCATCCCATCTTCAATACGATAAAATAAACAATTAATAGTAAAGTCCCTTCTAATACAATCTTCATAAATACTTCCTTTTCTAATTTCTGGTATTCTACTATTATCTTTGTATTCTTCTGCTCTAGGACTTCCAAAATCAATTGGTAACTCACAAATAGTAGTAGTTGCAGTTTGTAAATGTTCTGTTTGTTCTCTGTTTGTGAGTAATTTTGTATTAATTCCTTGTAATTGAAGATATTGAGTAACGTATTGAGCAAATTGAACACCACTTATTCCTTCAGAAGTAATATCAATATCATGACTATTTTTTTTAAGTATTTTATCCCTAACCCATCCACCAACAACTCTGACTGTACAACTTAAATTGAAATATTGTTTGGTATTATTTAATACTTTGAAAATGTTAATTTCTTGTTGGGTTAATTCAATAGGAATATTATATGTTTTACACTCACTTTCCATATATCTTATTTATTTCAAGATAAGATTCTTTTTTGTTTATCTCTATTATCATAAATAATTTTATTTTTAAAAGGAAAAATAAAAAGAAGAAATGAAAATCATTTATTGTGATGTTTCATTTGGACCTTTCATTTCAAGTTTCTTTCCTGTGATTGTGGTATACATCTCAAGACAATCTTCGACTGTAGTTTCAAAATGAGATGTAGCATCGTATGATTTAGTAATATAAACTCCATCTTGTTTTGGATCATTAATTGGTTCAAATGAATCGGTAATAGAAATAAATTGTTGTTCAATAGGTTGTAATAATTTTAATCCTACTTCAACTTCTTTTTCTGGATTACTTGTTTCAACTGTAGTACCAACAATAGCAATATACTTTCCTTTAGGACAAACTTGATTATTACCTGATAAGACTGAAATATAAATATCAGATTTTCTTCCAACTTGTTTTTGTGGCATTATAATTTGACATGATTCAGCATTATCAGTATTAGCAACTGGATGATTTAAAATACAAATAGCACGAATAACTTGTCCAACTTTCTTAACTTTATCTGGGAAATAAGATGGATCTGCAATGATATTAGAACATTTAGCAACTTCTCCACTTTCAAATTTAACTCCTGCAACTCTTCCATTTTCAAAAACAATTTCTTGAATCTTAGCTCTTAACATATAAGTTCCTCCATAAAGAGCAGACATACGTGCAAATGCTTGAGGAAGTTCTCCAAGTCCATATTCTGGATAAATGTATGGTGATTTTTGGAATCTTGAAAGTGATTCAAAGTATAATACTATCTTCTTAACTGTTTCAATAGCTGGTCTTGTAAGATAACTATCTTCTCTATAAAGTGCAATAGTATGACCAACAAATTCAATTGTAGCATCATCAAGACTGAAATCCTTAAATAATTGTGCCATAGTCATAGTTTTGAGATTTCTTCCTTTATGTGTTTCTGGTTTGTTTTCATCGTAATTTTGAAGATAAGTTAAGAAATTCTTAAATCTATTCTTTTCAAAGAATCCTAATAATGGAGTAGAAACAGTTTCAGCAACTGTAGCTGGAATTTTATAAACCTTTCCTTTAGTAAAGACATATGAACCATGAATAGCTCTGAATTGTAAATAATTATGTACATTACAATGAAGAAGAAGATTAACCATTTCTCCTGAACTCATAATAAACTTTGGAATAATATCAATATTATAATCTCTTGGTCTACCAAGTGATTCAGGAGCAGGTTTTCCATTAGCAAATGTATCAAATAATTGTTTAAGATTTAATGAAGCAGAAGCTCCTCCATAATAGTCATTCTTAT